TGTAATCACAAGGTCATGCTCATGCTCAAGAAAGTTAACTGCAGTATCCCCTTAGTATCTAGTAAACATTTTACATTCAAAATTTCCAGGAGTATCCTGAAAAGCTTCTCTTAAAAAGCAAACACAGTTTAGTCAAGGGCCACCAACTAAGCTGCTTTTCAGATTAGGGCTTGAAAGGAGTAAATGAGCTGGAATAGCCCTGTCTGTAGAAGCGACCTGATGTGAGCAGTGACTGTGCTCAGTGTGAATCGCTGGCATTACTCTGTGCCACTTCCTTTGTAGACCAGCATCTCGTTTTTAAATTGAGGGATCATGCACTATAATAAAATACGTGAAGTGCACCATAGTTTTTTACATATATATAAATCATTTAACCAACCCCTTGATCGATCTAGAAACTATTTTCAGTGTCCCATAAGAGTCTGTTGTGTCTCTTCCGAGTCCACACTCTTGCCCCAGGAACCACTGGGATACCTTGTGCCATTATCAATTACGCCCGCTCCTGAACTTCCTATAAATGAATCCTGTTGTAAGTAATGTTGTGTGTGTCTGCTTTTTCTTCATGCAACACCGTAGCTCTGCGCTTGACCCATGTTGTGCAGTGTGCCAGTGGGGCATGCTTCTTTTCCAGTGGCTAAGTTGTCTTCCAGTTTCTGGCAGGATCGGTGGGAATTGACTGGAAGCAGTGAGCATGTGTTTGTTTAAAGTTGTATTCCATTTGATATACTACAATTTGCTTATTCATTCTCCAGTTGATGGACATTCGAGCTACGACCCACGTTTATTTACTACAAACAAAGTTGCTCTAAATATCCTTATCCGTAACTCCTTGTGTTCAAATGTATTTCTCTGAGATACATAACGAGGAATGAAATTGATGGTCCATGGGGCAGGTCTGCGTTTAAATTTGGTCTATACTACCAGACCGCTATACATAACGAGGAATGAACTTGATGGCCCATGGGGGAAGTATGGTTTAAGTTTGGTCTATACTACCAGACTGCTTTCCAGATTGGATGTGTGTCATTTTATATTTCTTTCAGTGGCGTGGGAGCTCCAATTACTCCACTTACATGCCTAATCGTGGTCATTGAAATCGCTCTCAATTTTAGTCATTCTAACAAGTGTACAGAAGTTTCACACTGTGGTTTCAATATGCATTTCCCTGTAGAAGTATGCTGTTATGTCCTTCTTCACAGACGTATTTGGTATCATCTTTAATAAAGTGCCTGTCCATTTGACAATCAGTTTTTCATGTTGTATTCTTCTTATTGATTTGAAGGGGCTACTTGCATTCCAGATACGGGTGTCTCCCAGTTAAACCCAACTTTACTGAGAGCTTCTCTCAGTAAAAACAGAAAGGCTTTTCAGCTGAACTTACATCACATGGTAGCATCGAGGGTCTGACTTATCCATTTTCAAAAGAAGGAAATAATTCAGTCAGTCAGCCCGAGCAGAAAGGAGATAGTATATTTTAATTAATTCCATTTTAAATAAGAACGACAACAAAGGAAACATCTGGACCAGTAGAGCACTAGTCCTAGGAGTATTTGCATTTATCTTCTTTACACAAATAAGCTTCCTTTTGGTCAACCAGCACTTGGTATTTTTAGATAAGCAGCCGGATCTACTGGAAACTGGGTGACCATGCCGTTTTGTGGTGGTCATCACAAGGCTGGTGTCGTGGGGTAGAAGAGGAGGAGGAGGAAGGGCAAAGAAACATTCTCTTCCTTCACTAACTCAATTGCATCATGGCTGACTCAGAGCGGGACTGCAGGGCAGGACAGAAGTGCCTCTGTGGGTTTCTAAGGCTGTACGTTTTTATGGGAACAAAAAGCGCCTCCTCTTTCTACCAGGCACAGGCAGCCCCTGGTCTCTTGGCTGCTCTCCTAGCAGCCTGGCCACAGAAAAGTGGGTCGTCTCCTTCCGCATTGGCCAAATCAAGACTTATTTTCTAAGTCCTGCACACATCTACAGAATAGTTTTGGAAAGCAGCCACACATTACTATTTGTATTCTTTTGTCGGTCACTTCTCCACACCCTCTTTTTTCCAGTTTTATCTGCCCATTCGCATGTACTGTGACTTTCATGAATGATTCCTCCCACAGCGCCATTTAATACCTGGTGGTATAATGGTGGGGTAGTCGTGCGGGACTGCAGAGCATGTGGCTGTTTATAGTTGACAGATTGAAAATAAAAATTTACATATATGCTCTACATTTATAGGGGCATCTTTTTGACATGATTTAAACCAAATGCAATACCTTTTAGCATCTGCTAAGAGAATTATCACCTTCTTACCATATAAAAAAAAGGAGATTCAAACAAATGGGACATTTTTTTCCAATGACATTACAACTGATAAGTGGTCAACGTGAATCAAGCCCAAGTTCGAGGTTTGAGCCCAGGTGGTCCCATATCTCCAGCCTTCCTGAATCAGGACAAGCCAGGCTGTGAAGGAGGAGGCATGCAAGACCAGGTGCAGGCCACGTCCCTCGGGCTCTGCACTTCATTCCACCCAGGAAGAAAGGAGGGACTCCACCTGTTCCCTCCAGGGCACATTGCTGCAGGGCCTGCAGCGTTCCCACGGCTGGCTGTACGTGGCAAGAGGCTAAATGCTCTTGAGTTTCTCCCTTCTGGAAATGCCATTGGTGATAGCGGAACCATGTCATGATCGTTTTCCAGGAATAGAGAGAGAACGCAAGCGTGGCCACGTACTGTGCTGGAAATGCTAAGCCTTGAACACATTCCTATGTGGCCATCTCTCAAGACATTTCCTAGGAACCCGCTCAAATGGTCAGGCACGTTAGCGCTTTCAGAGTGCTAGCCACATGATGAACTTAACATGGGCTAGATGATTACTTTAATTGTTTGCTCATTTAATTATTAATTTCCTAAATATGGATTAGTAATTCCTTATGGATTTAATGATTGATTTCAATAATTTATGGATAATTATTTTAATATCTTATACTGTCTATTTAAAATGTTCCATATTTTATTCATTTAAGGTATTTTATATTTTAATGTTGCAATTGTTATTTATTGAGATGCTATTTTGTATTATTTAATTCTTGTATATTGAAAACGCTTGGTTATTATTTATTTATTAGTTAATTATTCTCTAATTATTTGTCTGCGTGGGACCTGGGCCTCAGAAAAGGGCCGTGGCTGCTTGAGAGTGAGCAGGAGGGAATCAGTACATCTACACCTTGAACACGGTCTTCTCTAATTTAGTCATTTCAGCAGCCAGACCACGGTTTATACGTGAGGGCAGATTTGAGGTGGGGACTAACTTCTGACTATATTCATCCTCAGGAACTCAGCTGGTCAGGAGACTGGGTTTTGAAGCATACTAATAAAAGAAGAAAACAACTTACTACATTTTTGACCATGGACTGTTTTGTTAACTCTGACAAATTCCCAAGAATTGAAATTTCCTAGAAACAAAAAACTTCCAACCAAACCCTAATAGTGATCTATTTTTCTCTCCTGAAAGAAACCAATTTTTAAAATAGGGAAATGAGGGAAGACAACAATATGAGCCATGGCTACGATTGTGGTAGGAGTTAGTCCTAGCTGCAGGCCTGCTCCAAGTTCTGACAGGTCCTTTGACGATCAGATGAAGCCCTTTTTGGTTCGGATGCTGTGAGCCCTGTCAGTGAAGGGAGATGCAGGCTTAGGGACAGTCTAACAGGACAGGGTCTGAAAAGGGACTAATTAGACAAGGAGAAGAATTTGTCACTTTTTTCTGTGACGTGTGATAGCTAGCATTTAACATGCAGGGGACAATTGTCTTCCCCTTGATTTTAATGCATATCGACTCTGTGTTTATTATTCCTGACAAAGAAAAGTATCAGGTAATGTCACTACCCCAGAAGAGAAAAGAGCCCACTTAAGGCAATTAAAGAACGATATAGTGCAGCCTAGAACATAGTCCCATAAGACGAGCAAGCATTGATCCCAAGGCGATGAAAGTGGGTTGGTGCAGCCTGGGAAGACATCGCCCCAGCAGTGGGCTCACCTGAGCTCTCAAAGGTGCGGAGAGCCCGTGGGCGGCGCGCAGGGTTTGTGTTTGACTGTTCATCTAAACGTTGGCGCCCACCCAGTGAAAGACCTGGTGTTTTGCTTTGCTAAGATAAACAAGAAGCAAAACAGTGACGATCACAGCCAAGAAACCCTATGGGGCAGTTCTATGAAGTGACACCTGGGACAGAATCCTTTCTTTCAAAGGATGCAGGAAGTTCCAGGAGGGGCGGGACTGGGCTGGATTTGGAAGGCATTTCAGAGTGCAGTCCTCTGGGACTAACGGAGACTAGTACTTCCAGAAGGCACCCTTAGGGGGCTTCAGTTGGAACCACAGGAGATGACGGCACCCACCATGTTCAGAGCCAACTGTAAGAGAGGGCAGAGTCACTCTCTTTAGGGAGAAAACGCAGTTTACAAAGAGCCTCTACCCAGACAGGTCCTTTTCTGTTTTCACTTCAGGGGAGTGTGTTCAACACCTGGAAACCCATGTGGGTTGTGTTATTAGAAGATGGAATTGAATTCTACAAGAAGAAAAGTGACAACAGTCCCAAAGGGATGATCCCCTTGAAAGGCAGCACCCTCACCTGCCCGTGCCAGGACTTTGGCAAAAGAATGGTGAGTTGGCTTCACAAGCTTTGGGGAACTCCAGGTCAAGCACGGACCAGTCAAGGGCACAGGTGCAGTGTGAATGGTGCTCTTGGGCCCGTCGCCCCCCTCACTCTCGTGCCCCGGGATTTGGATCTAGAACCACATGAACCAAGTACTTCCGGAACAAGGCTGGATCAAGGGCTTTGCTTCTTTAGGCGGCCTCAGCTCAGTGAAAAGCGCCATTTCTAATGGATGTGTTTTGTTTTTCAGTTTGTGTTTAAGATCACCACCACCAAACAGCAGGACCACTTCTTCCAGGCAGCCTTCCTGGAGGAGAGAGATGCCTGGGTTCGGGACACCAAGAAAGCCATCAAGTGCATTGAGGGAGGCCAGAAGTTTGCGAGGAAATCCACCAGGAGATCCATTCGACTGCCAGAGACCATTGACTTGAGGTGATTTCCGGTTTGTGCCTGTCTGCCCTTCCGTTGTTTTCCTCGGGGATCTCTCACCGCAGATCCTGGTCCCACGCTTGCTGGCCCCTCCTGACGGCTTGACTCGCTCTTCCAGCGCACTTGGCTGTTTGTTTACCTGGGTCTGGAGGAGGGAGCGTGGCTTCTCCACGACCTAGCTGCTGCTAAGAGGAGGCGGATGGAGTAAAAATTCCCTCCGTTTGAGTTCCCTGTCACTTACAGTGCATTTATGTATCAGCCATCATCAGTGAGCCTTGAAAGAGTCCCAGAGTAGAGAGGAGAAGGGGGTGGGGGGGCATGCGCAATGTTGCAAGCAAGCTGTCAACGTCAAGCATTCTCACAGTCAGCCAAGGCCTGTTGGGGTCAACACTGATCTTGGCTGGGCCTGTTTTGAGTCCTGACCTAGTTGAACGACCTATTCAAACAGGTCAACCCAGTCTCAGATGGGGGTTGGGAACAAGGCTTCTTTCTCCCGGAATGCTTGCGATCCATCTTCTCCTGTCACAGGAGCCCCCTTTTCTCGAAGCCTTTTAACTTCTGGGTTGTTTTGCTTTGACATCAAGCATGCCCTGAGACGGTGGTCTTGTCAAGAAGAAGCCTGGGCTGCATGCTTCAATTAGCCCACAGGGATTCTGTTTCCATGGGTGGAAGAGCGTCCCCGGGAGGGGACTGAAGCTACTGCTGCCATATGCCCAAGGCAGGGCTTGGTATACCGTAGGAATCTGATAAACGTTGAGAGTTGAACTTAGTAAGACTGAGCAGCTTCCTTCCCCAAGGAGGCTTTTGCGGTAAAGAAGCAAGAGGTGGCCCCTCATCTAACTGCGTGCCCTGGCCAGCAGCGTTCCTGACCACAGCTGTCAGTGCTAAGAGCAAGGGTGCTCTGTCTACAGAAAGACACGGGAGACTTGGGAATGGCATTGTTCTGTTGGTTGGGACTCCTCTGATAAGGCTGGCTTGCTTTCATATTTCAAGGACCAAAACGTTGCCTTACCTCTCATAGTGTTTAGGTAAGAAGCAGATCTAGTTAGAAGGTTCCCGTTGAAGGCACATATCCACACTTTCAAGTGTCTACCCTGGGAGGCTTTACAAGAACTAGGACACGAGGGTGGAGGGTCCTTAAAGACCTAGAATGTGAGAACGGCAGGCTCTGATCAGCTATGGAGCATTGCGCCCGAGAACATTTCATATTGGCACCTCACTGGGGACAGTTCTCCATCTCAGACACCAGGCTTACAACCGATCCCAATGTGTAATACATTGAAGATACATTCAGTAACTTCCTAGTGTGTTTTGTAGGCCACAGAGTTAGGCACACATTGACCCTTCCCTTGAGTTACTGATGATGTGGAGACAGATTCAGGGCTGCCCAGGGAGTGGGGACTCCCTGCTCAGAGCTGGCCCCTGCCAGGTGACGCCCCTGCGAGAGGACATGCCTCTCTGAAATGCTCCCCCCTCACCTGCCTCTTTTCATCTCTGTGCAGCGCCTTGTATCTGTCCATGAAGGACAGCGAGAAAGGAATCAAAGAACTGAATCTGGAGAAGGACAAGAAGATCTTTAATCACTGCTTCACAGGTAAAGGGCCTCGCAAGCATGAAGGGGGGCAGCTGGAGCCGGTGATGGGGGGCTAGCTCTGCCTGTGCCTGGTGTGTGAGGCGGAGCTGCAGAGCAAGAAGATGCAGGCATGGTAGTCTGCAGACTGCTGACTACCAGGAGGTCAGGGGTGGGCAGAGGGAACAGGGAGAGGGAGGGATAGGTTATGGATGGGGAGGGATGGGGGAAAAAAGAACCGCATAGCTGGAGGGGGTGGCAGGATGTTGTTGATTTTATTTCTGGAGGTGTGCTGGGTAAATATAGATGGTATGTTTCTTGAAACACAAACAGAAAATCCCTCCGAGTCCTTCTCCCTCAACGCTAAACAGCGGTCTGAGAAGCTTAACACAATAAACAAAAAAGAAAGGAAGAAAAACAACATTAAAATAGACTGGGAGTCTTCAGGGAAAAACAAGTTCATCTGGAACCCCGTGTTCAGCCCACACTGTGGGCTGAAGATGGAGAGTGTGGGAACTCCAACCTCTGATCAGCTGTGGACCGTTGTTCCCGGGAACATTTAAAAACTGCAGGGGCAGTTTTCAGCCCAAACAAGCCAGCACACACTAATACATTCATCGTTGGTGCCATTTGGAGACTCTGATGGTTCCTTAGAGGCCCAAATGGGAGGATACTTTTGGAACCAGGCTTTCCAGATGCCAGGCAAGGCTTCCTCATGTAGGAGGAGGGGTCCCGGGAGAAGAAGCTGAGAAGCCATCCAGGCAGCAGATAATTCATGACAGTAGTCCCCGTGAGAATCAGGAAGATGAGGGGGGCAAGAGCATGAGGTGGGGTAACAGAATAGCACCCCACAGGGATTCAGCGTCTGAGGGTTCAGGCATCCAGGAAAGGCCTGGGCTCTGATTTAGGATTAAGATTGGCAAAAGCAAGACAGATCTCCAACTCTGGCAGAGTGCACATCAGTAAGACAAAGGCTCAGGCCCAGGGAATGGGGGTGGGGGAGGTTCCAATGTGCAGCCTAGCATTTCTGAAGTTCCCTCCACTGAGTGTCAGTCAGGGTAGGTCCTAGTGGAACTTTCTTGTGGAAGTCAGGCAGACTCAAGAGGGAAATGAGGTCCTTGGCAGAGTCTGGGACCCACCCTGTGCTGACACAGGGCAGAGGGCCTCGAATGGACACTGGACACACGGACACTGGACGGAACTTTTGCTCAGATTGCCCGCTTCACGGAATGAGCATGGCATCTAGGGTTAAAATCTGCTGCGGGTGTCACGCGAGGCCTAATGTTGCTTAAACACCCCAAGACTTAATGTTCTCATCCTTTACATGAAGCCTATAATTGCTGTCCCACCTCATTGGTCGGATTGTTGTAAGAATGAAAAGGAGCGATGGAGTGTCCATTAGATGTTGCTGTAGAGAAAGGAAGGTGCAGACACATTTTCCATATATGAAATTCATGGAAGGCTCACTGACCAACTGTCCTCTTCGTTTTCTGAGGAGAGCATCAACCTTATCGCTCTTGTCTGGATGAGCCAGGGCTCATTGGCTAGGAGGAAGGGGTTCAGAAAGTCTCCATTATCGAAGCCCCCTCCTCATTTTGACTCGCTCATACCACACCATTTGTCATACAGAGCTTGATGGTACCCACTGCCGTCAAGTCAATTTGAACACAGAGACCCTCTAATTCAATCGATCGATCGGTTTTAGGTCTGTCTCTTCACAGCCCTCTCTTGAGGCAGAAGGTTGACTCTATGATGTCGCAAGTCTCCATTGCACTTTTAAAGGCCTGGCACTCACTCCCAGTGTTGACCCCACATTGGGATTTAGGACGTAATGATGATATGTCGAGTCACTGAAGGTGATGCAAACTATGGATGCGCTCAACTGGTAACCCAAAGGGGTTTGGGTCCCCACCCCCTCACCTGGGGTTCCCCAGAAGAAAGTCCCAGTGATCCACCTTCAAGAAATCACCCATTAACTACCTCCTGGCACACAGTTCTGCTCTATCTCACCTGGGGCTGCTACCAATCAGAGTCAACTCGACTACGGCAACTGCTTCTATGCTTGGCAATGGTGTATGCATAGGCTAGGCTCCTCTACTTAAAGACTTGCAATGGTTCTTCATTGCAAATATTCTTACCCGGCCATCAAAGCTCTGCTCACCCACAGTCCCCCTCCTGCCTTCCTCTTGTTCCCCTTTGTCTTCTTCCCCCCCAGCTCCTCCTCCCGTCCCCCAAGGCTGCTTCATGCCTGGGAGCATCTGCTCACGATGCTGCTCGTTCGGCCTGTGTGGGTTCCTCACAGCCCATGCCTCATCTGCTTGGAAACCACCTACTCGCTTTAAAAAAGCAGTAGCCCAGTGTTACTTCCTCTATAAATCTTTTCTTAACAAGGCACCAACAGCCGGGCCTGCTGCCTCTGCCCCTCCCACTCCCACCCTCAACACCTCAAAGATTGGGGCCCAAAGCTCCACTGTAATGACCTATATTAGTGGTTCTTAACCTGTGGGTCCTCGACCTCTTTGGAGGTCAAACGACCCTTTCACAGGGGTTGCCTAAGACCATCGGAAAACACATTTCTGATGGTCTTAGGAACCAAGACACCGCTCCTCTGTCTCCTGGCGGGTGTGCCCACACGCAGAAATGCCCACATCCGAGTACCAGGTGTGAAGACGGTTGCCCATGCTACACCATGCTTCAAGACAAAATTTCATTTCTTTGGCATTAGAAATAATTATTTCATAATATATAATTACATATTTTTTGTGGTTCACCACTATGCTTTAATTATGTTCCATTTGTAACCATGAAAATACATCCTGTACATCAGATATTTACATGATGATTCATCACAGCAGCAAAATTACAGTGATGAAGTAGCAACGAAAATAATTTTAGGGTTGGGGGTCACCACACCATGAGGAACTGTATTCAAGGGTGTCGGCATGAGGAAGGTTGAGAACCACTGGGCTAGAGTACCCATTTGTTACAAGGCGTCCTTGTTTACAACCCATCTCTCCCTTTTAGAGTCCTTGTAAAGTATTCTCAATCTCATCAGTTTTTTAGACCTTTTTGGGTGCTCAAAATATCTCTGTTCCTTAGTGGAATATGTGAATGGGTTAGTAAAAAGGACACTTATTCCTCACTTAGCAACCTGCCCAATCATATCATTACATGGTTGCCATGACATCGCTGAGAATGATGACCCTGCCGAGGTGGCTCATCACCCGAACCTTTCCAGCTAACGTTCCTCATGGCTCTCCCCTCACTCCTCCTTATTGCCAGGTGTCTACTGCGAATGCCACACGTCATTGGATACTAGAGTTTTTTTAACCGCTGTGCTAAATAGAAAGTATTGGATAAAAAGAAAGTTTACAAGTGAAGAATAGTTGATTTCTTTAATACATGCGTTGCCTCTTGACATGGCTAGCCAAACCAATGGCCATAGAGTCGACTCTGACTCACAGTGACCAGCGTGTCCAAGAAGAACTGTGCCCCAGAGGGTTTTCCAAGGCTGCTTTTGCTGAGGTAGACTGCCAGGCCTTTTCTTCTGAAACACCTTTGGGTGCACTTGAACTGCCAGTCTTTTCACTGGTAGCAAGCACCCTCCAGCGACTCTATAAGAGGATGTAGAGGTTTAGAAAACCCTTTACACGAGTGCCTCTGTAGCTATCTATCTCAGAGAGTTTCCTTTGGCCTTGTACTAGAGAAATGAGACAGGTCAGATACTTGGGGTCTTGGGGCCAGTTCAGGGTTCATTGTCAGGGCCTTGCTCCTTGATAAAGAGAAATAACCTTCCTTCTTCTGGAACTATCCAGGTAACTGTGTCATCGACTGGCTGATATCCAGCCAGTCCATTCGGAATCGCCAAGAAGGGCTCATGATTGCAGCCTCACTGCTCAATGAAGGGTACCTGCAGCCCGCGGGAGACCTGTCCAAGAACGCGGTGGACGGCACCTCTGACAATCCATTCCTGGACAACCCCGATGCTTTCTACTACTTTGTAAGTGACAGAGCTGCCCACCTGCTCTTGGTGTGATGGGGCTGTCTGGGCAGATTCTGGATTGATTCCTGTTCTTGTCCACCTATGTGAAAGAGCCCCGCCCTATAGAGAACTGTTAAGAGATGAAAAGGGGCCAAGGGATTAGTGAGAGAGACCAAGAAAATACCTGTAGTCCCAAGGCCTGTTTGCTAATTTAAATGCAGATTCTAAAATTTCTATTACCCTATTGCTACACCAGTTGGACAGTTGCTCCCCTTCCACAAAGCCTGCCATGCTTATATCAATCTGTTTAAAGCTTTGGGCTGCCACCAACCACAAACTTGGTGGCTCCAACCCACCAGTAGCTCTGCAGAAGCAAGATGAGGCTGTCGGCTCCTATTCAGAGCTACTGTCTCAGAAACCCTATGTGGGTCACTGTGGGTCAGAATTAACTTGATGGTAATGGGTTTGGTTTGGTTTTTTTTTTAAATGTACTCCCTCCCCACCAAAAAAACCAACCCCTCACTGCCATCAAGTCATTTCTGAGTCAAGACCCTATAGGACAGGGTAGAACTGCCCCTGTAGGTTTCTTAGGATATAACTCTTTACAGGAGTAAAAAGCCTCATCTTTCTCCCAAGGAGCAGTCAGTGGTTTTGAACTGCTGACCTTGTGGTCAGCAACCCAATGTGTAACGCATTACGCGCCACATGCCAAAAGACTCTTGATGGTGAGACAGTTAAGTATGTGGCTGTTCACTGAAACAATGGTGGTTCGTGCACACCCAGGGACCTGACCATTTTCTCTGGTCAACATAACCTAGGACACCCGGTGGGGCAGTTCTACTCTGTCCTGTAGAGTCATGACCAATCGGGGCCAGCTCAAGGTGCCTGACAACTCAACAGTACATGCCAGGCACTTTCTTAGAAAATAACAGCGTGAACACCAAACCAACCAACCAACCAACCAACAAAAAAACCCCAAACAGCAGGAGTTCAGGCCTCCACAGACCTTCCTTTCTAGAGGGAGAGCTGCGAAGGCAAAGGTGTGAGGCACTAGCATTTTCCCAAAGATACACAAAGACACACAGCCATTACTACCCACATTGTACATCGTGTGGCCCCCTCCCATCACCTGTGTTCCTCCCAC